TCAATATGTTTTAAAGTACATTTCTTCTATAAAAGGTCAGAGAAAATCTTAAAGATGGTGAAATTTCATCAAATTTGGAAAAAAAAATCCCAAACCTACAAACCAAAACAAAATTGACCAAGCCTAGAAAAATAAGTTATTTCTTTGTAGGATGGTTTCACATCCATACCTCTGAAGAAATTGAAATAGATTCTTAATTCCTTGTTACCACATCCAGCAGTGCAAGGATCTTTTAAGTTACAGGAAAAAAAGTTTGGCAAGCCATGATAAGGATACTATTCAAATTATTTTACTCTTTATCTTCTGTCTCAACCATCACTAATAATCTGAATATAATCTAACAACTGGTTGTATATTTATTGGTAGCATTCCCTTGCTTCTTCCAAAGCATGGACTCCAAAGCAACCTTTGTGTTTACTTTTGTAAAGGGCTTGGTCCTATACAAAAGGAAAATGTGTTCTTGTCATAAGCAGTCAAAATAAATAGTACAAATCAGATAGAAGCTGAACCAGCTGACCTGCAGACTTCTATGAACAGATATTCTTTCCCATTTTAACTTAATAAATTACTCTATTTCCAATAAGTTTTCCAGGAGATTTTTGTGAAGAATCTGGTTGAGCAGATACATTTATTTTGCATAGGGAATCAAACACAATTGGTGTTTCACATTTCAAAGTAAGCCAGTATGGCAAAAGGAACTGGGTTCATGAAGGGGAGCAGAAGCCTTGTGTAGTTGACTTTTTCATGAGACATCAAGCAAAATGGTCAAGAGCAGATGGTTCAGGGAGGGTTTTGAAAAACAACATTGAGAAATGAAATTCTGGACATAAAGTACATAATGCAACTGGCATTGCATGTGGTTTGTACATATGAATGTTACTTTTCTAGAGCTAGTAAATACTCCTTTTAAATTTGAGGTTATTTGTTACAGTAAACAAAATATCCCCAAATTTAGGGACTATCTGTTGCATAATTAATTAATTTTTTTAATCCCCAAATTTAGGGACGATCTGTTGCAAAGTTAAGTGGTTCTGGACTCCACTGATAATATGTGTTTGTCTTTTTTTTCATAGCTAGTCCTTGACAAAAACATTTACCCATGATTTTTTTAAATTACTGCTTGTAATTTTTTCCAATATAAATGCTGTAATTTTTGATTTACTAGGTAGGAAGAACATCCCATGTTTTTGATAATATATATTTTTTTCCATAAAATGGCTATCTGGAATGCATTAATCAGCTTACATGAGTGTCAAATAGAAGCAATATTTCACAGTGAGTTTACACCAAAACAAAACCTAGATCCATCCCATCCTTTTTTCATTAAAGTATAGTAATAACATGACTGTTTTGTAGTATTTGTACTGCTCTCATCACTTAGCTTGTCAGGGTTCATCACCGATTACACATGCAACAGAGTAAAAGTCTGTTTCTCATTCCAGAAACTCAAACCTCATTCAAACTACACTTTTTGATCAAGTTCTTTGAATATTCTTGGTCACTACCTCATTTTTATCCAGGTCTGTACTTTCTCATTTCCAGCAGTGCCCCAAACCAGAACTGACAAAAGAATACAGGAAAAGCTTTGTGGCATCACATCATATTTGATCAGGAAGAGGATGTGGCACAGCTAGTATGTTCTCATTCTCTGTAAATCATGCAATGCAGAAATAGCTGCTGATTCTGTGTGTGGCACACTCAGGCTGCTTCTGAAACCTGCAGAAACAGGCAGGCCTGAAAAATCTCACCTAATGATAAAGAGCCATTGCTCTCTGGAGAGGGTAGTTAGGGATGCACAGGTGCTTAAATAGCTTGGAAAGGGGGAGAAAATCTGCTCAGAGTCCTTAGCTATTGGGCTCTTCTCTTTTTATCATTTAAGGGCACATTAATTTTTATTTTTTTTTTAGTAGTACTTTCCCCTTTGGATAATTTCCATTCTGAGAACAATCATATTTGTTTATTTGTGGGCAGGCAAGCTATAAATAATAACTGTTTTAGGTCAGTGTCCTTTCAGCAAACAATGTCCATCCAAAAGTATTGCAAAAATCTTTTACATAATATTTATTTGTTTGTTTTAAAAAGTTTCTAGGATCTATTTCCTCCCTTTCTGCTGTTAGACATTTCATTAAATCTAGTCTTACTCTTTTCTTCAGCAGTTTTATTCTACTACCTTCATTACTATACAATGAACTGGAATGTCATTTATATGATATTTTATCTAATAAACCTTTTTTTTCTAAGACTTGTTGAAGCTTCAATATTCTACTAATGCTTAAGGGTTCATATCTAAAATGATTTCTATAGTGAAGACTGATAAGGAGTGTTTAGAACTCTAATGGAATAGCCTGTTGTTCTTATCAGAAAAATAAGCCAGTATTTTAGATGAGATAAATGAATGTAGTTCTACCAAAGTCAGTTAAAGTACATGAATTTTGTAGGTATGACTGAGGGTAAGATTCAAGTATCAGAGTACAAAACCAAACACAGTTGTCAATCAAGAGGGTGACTGAAAGATAATTCTACTTTGAGGTATAAACAATCTTTATTGTTCTATCAGATCTCACCCTTCGGATTGCTGTACGTCATCTGAAAAAAGAAACAAATATTTAACTCTGACAGATTTTATCAGAGATATGGATCTCATGTAAGGGGAAAAAGAACCAAACTCACAAAAGCAAAATCAAAAAACGAAAACCAGTTCAAAATGAAACTGTTCCTAGACTGGAGACATTTATTTTCATGTATTTTATCTGTGTATATATATACACATATGTACCAGAGAATTTGAAATTTCTGTCATGGGAACGCTTTGAAGACTAGCAAAACTGTATTTTAAACTGAAAATTGTTATTAAATTAATTTTTCATCAACATTTTTCTTGATAGTTGTCACTCTACGGTATTAGTCATCATCATGATCTCAACAAATTTTTTTGCCTTTAGCAGTTAAGCTTTAAATTAGCTGTGAGGACACACCACCATGATGCCATATGGTCATCACTAGTGGCTGGGGTTCTTGGTGGTTCTTTGCCAAGTTTGAGTTTGTTTGAGAGCTCACTGGTGACAGAAGTTGAAACTTAGGTGGAATTGTCTTCCCTGAGTTTCCTTGCTGACATCTAGAGTTTGATACTATCAAAAGAAATGCCATCTGCTCCCTGTATCTTCTATTCTTTTTTGATACCAGTCCTCCTCTGCTTCCAGCAGCATTTCCTGCCCATTTGCCCTTCATGTTTATCTTCTTCTCTATCTTGCAGCTTTTGGTTCCTTGGACACCTCATTTGTGCCACAACACCCTTCCTTGTTTGCTCCTTCAGGGGTCACATTGCTCGTGTGCTTATGTGAGATATTTATGACTGATGCTGCCATCACAGAGGTACAAAATGCACAGTGTGGTTTGTTCCATTTCCACAGCACTTTTTGTCACCATCATATTTTCTGAAAAATCCTTTGCCCAGGATTTCTTCTCCTGGGAAGATGAGAAGTCTCAGAGAAAAATGAAAACAATAATTATCTGTTTTGCTTCTCCTGTGTTTTGATGCTTTGGAATGTGATTTGGACATCTTTTACCAACTGGTCATTGTTTTATTGGTTTCATGTGAATTGTTTTAACTTAATGAGCAATCTCTGTCAAGCTGTGTTGGACTCTGAGGAGAGAGCCATGACTTTTCATTATTATCTTCTAGCCTTCTGTCTGCATCTTTTCTCTATTCTTTAGTATTGTTTTAGTATAGTATTCTTTAATATAATATAATATGATAAAATAATAAATTAGCCTTCTAAGAACATGGAGTCATATTCATCATTTCCTCCCTATGATGGGGGACCCAGAAAATACCACAACTTTTATATTCAGGCTCAGAGCAAGCTGTCCTGATGAGTATATTTATAATTTACTGCTGTTTGTTTTGGATACATATATGCTGGAAAGAGGTACAATACATTAAGACACCATACTGAAGAATTTTTTTGAATGTTTTTAGGTTTATTTGAAATTATTTTCCACAGCGTTGTCCAATGATAACATTAATGTGAAAGAGGTTCTAGAAGCGTGCTTCACTTTTTCTCTCTTTTGGACTCACCAATAAAAAGTTTTCAAGCACTTGCACACATTGATGAACTCCCAGTTTCAGAATTCAGAGCACATCCAGTTATAAGGTGCTTTATATTCAGCCAGTGCTATTCAAGAAATGTATTTTAAATCAGTCGTATCTTATCAAGGCAATTTATATTGCCCTCCTACAAGTGTGGAAATGATTTACAGTAAGTGTCTTTACCTCATAAAATAGCTAAATGAGTTTTCTGCTTCAGAAGTGCTTAAATCATGCTACTTCTTCCATTTATGAAACAATTTATGTTTTCAGACACACAAACATAATGGCATCAAAATCTGTTAATTATGGTATCTCTTTTTGCATCCTCTTTATTTATATCCCTGTTTGGTTTAATCTTTTTTATTGTCTTTCAAAACTCTTTTTCACAATATAGCTGTATTTATTGTAGGGAGTCCTATCTACATCACTGTTACTGTTAATTACTTGTGAATTGCATGGCTTGCTATGCCTTTCAAGAGTTTCCTTCCTAATGACTGACCTTTCAGACAGAAACATTAGTGCAAATTGTAGCATATTTTTAACTAGTGTTTGCAACAGCAGTTTTAACTTGTTATTTTGAAAAATCACTGGCTTTATACTTTTTTTTCCTAGGGTAGTAATTAAAAGATTGTAGTCTTGGTGGGATACAGCCAAGAGCAAAAGCTGGTGGGATTTTTTTCTGCAAATATTAATCAAATACATTATTTACCCCAGAATACAGACAAGGATGGAAGTAATAAAGTAGATTTCCTCCCTTCCGTGCTTCTGAAGATGGAAAACTAGGGCAGAACTTCCTAAGTTACTCCTCTAAGGCCATGTGACCCTCCTGAGACCCACTTTAACTTTAAATGCTTTACCTATAATACAAGTTTGTTGACTTTACCAGGAAAAACTTGTGGCCTTACCAAAAAGAGGAAATTTTTTGCAGCTCTAGAATACAATTCTCAAGCACAGTGCTGTTTAACTCTCCATCTCACTTTTTGTACATTGATGCTCAGAATGCCTATGTAAAAGCAAGAATCAAATAAAATATTTTAAGCCATCAGTCTTTATGTCATTTATTGAACAATGTTTAGAAAAACAGTGACTTATAAGATTTCTTAAACTTACTAGATAAACTCTATGTATGTAGGCAGAACAAGCATCTGCATGAACTCCATTATCTCAGTGGTAAGGAAAAAGCAAAATGTTCCCTGCAAGGCATCTGTATGAAATTATCCTACAGCTTAAAAATATTATTTAGAAATGTTTAAATAATGTAATCATAATGCAGTAAAGGAGTGACATAAACGTTGTTGTGTCTCACAGAGTAAAATTTGCTACTTCTGAATAAAGTCTTGCTTGTCAGTACTCTTTCATGTATTTTCAAAGGTATGTCAAATATCACTATAATTTTAGTTGCTATTGGTCTTCTTTTCCTGCTGGTTTAGGACACACAAGATAAGGGGGGGAAAGTAACTTTTACTAACTCATAGAGTATGATATTGCATTTTAAGCATGTAAAATTATGTACCTTTATATTAACATAGAAAATATAAGTTTGATAACAACCAGCAGAGAGAATTGAGGAGCAGTGGATGAAATCACCTCAACCAAGAACAAGTCTGCTACACAACAGTTAAAACAACCCAAGAGTGCAATTTAAAGAATGCTTAAAAGCATATTCTGCCACTACCCAGTCTAAAACATAAAACACCTGTTACCAAGCTGTCTTTGTAGCATTAATTTTAACAAGTGAATCCTGGTTTCACAGAAACTGCTTTATTTAACCTTTGAGACTGAACAGGTTCAGGAATAGTCTTTCAAAACCCTTGGGAGTTGTTCTAGATAACTGAATGCTACACGAAACTTGGTTGCTGTCCGTGATATGAGACCAGCTATTGATTTATGTTACAACTAGAAGAAAGAACTCTTGGGACACTCCGTGTGGCAAAAGGAGAGAGGAAAATGTTTTTGTAGGAAAATACTTGTGTTTTTCCTTGAATGCCAATTTACAATATATACATTTGCACACACCTGACACAATATGCTGTCCTGTTTGGAGGACAACTGTTGTTTAGATAGTCCGAAGTGAGGGAAAGACTATTATTTTTTAACTGATGTTGTCAACTTTGGGAGCCTATGGGAAAAAATTAAGGACATGCTAGTAGAAATCAAAATGTTCTGCACTTCCAAAATATGTGCATAATTGTGGATCACCAGCAATTTAAAAAGTAACTGGAGTCTTCCACAAAATGTACTGAAAAATATTGGGTACCCCTGCAAATGCACGTGTAAGCTGAGGCATTGCATTTTTCAAGGCTGCTGAACGTGTAATGCTCCTAACTTTGTCACTTGTTTCATGCAAACCAGACCTGCCTGGGAGTTTTGACAATTAATATCTCACACCAGTTCTAGATAATGAAATTTTCAAAAAAAGCCATCATTCCAGGAGTCACACAAGGAGACTTCAATTCCTCGTATTAGGGACTTTCACGTCTGAAAGGAAGACTGGGACTTCACTCCTTGCATTTGTGGCGGACATGAAATGGTTAAGTTGAGCAAATCATAGCTAAACTTTTCAAAACGATTTGATGTTTTGTCAATATTGATTCAGGCTTCTCAGTGTCAGTGAAGTAAAAAATAATAAAGTTCTGTTGCTGCAGGAATGTGAAAAAAAGATGTTTGATTGATTCTTCCATTATCCAATGACAGTTATTATGGAGCAGGGAATAAAAATGGCAATTATATTCTTACTTTATAGAGGAAAAAGAAGGGTAAATAAACTGTTCTAAGATTTACAGAGTTGACATATGAGAGTTGAAATATGCCAGAAACAGGAACTGCAGTGATTGGTCTCACAACCTTGTTTCTAGAAGAACAGGCATTCAGCCATAATATTTGTAGTCACCAATTGAAACTAATATGAAGTGATGTTTAGCTATATTGAACAAATAAGCGTATCCAAAACACGAATGCACATTAGGAAATGGTATAGTTGTGTGCCTGTTAGTGTGCAAAGTAGATTTAAAGAGATAAAAAATCCTGCAGACACTTTTTAATGTTTTCTTTTTGCTTAGATTAAATTTAATCACAATAAACTGTTTCCCAAACACTCAAACACATTATAAGGCACTTCTTATTTTTATACCTGCAGATGATAGTTGCTCAGAGAGTGCTTTTCCTTCTTCAGTATTTTCTCTTATTTTCACATACTTATAATTCAGAGATAGAAAGCACGCTTGTGCAAAACTTATTTTTAAGTCTGTAAGAAAAAAAGCTGCTCTGAATTTTCTTAAACTCTGATATTATATTTAAGAAAAATAACTTTCATTCCATCAAATGTCATTTTATTTTGAGGAAAAATATTAAGTTTTTCACTCTAGACATTAATACCACAATAATATGTAGGTAACTTTAATTTAGAAAAACCCTCCCTTTCCAACTCTACAAAAAAAACCCAAAAACAATTAAAAGTGCTAATTTTTTTATCTCTCTTTTTTTTAAGACAGCCTCTAGATATGCAGTGGAAAATGGAAGTGAGAATATGTTAGCTGTTCTTTTTTCTTGAGACAAAGCAGAATAATTTTGTCAAATTGTCCTTTAATTCTATTAAAACATCACCTACGGCTGCAATTTTACCAAGAAGGTTGTCTATTTTGTCATTTCAGTGACAGAATTAATTAATTTTTATTTGCTTATCTTTCTTTGTGTTGGTCTAATTTTATTTGTGTATAAGTACAATGTTGAAAATGACTTCTTAATATAGGTCTGCTGATTACACAATCTATGTCAATAAAGGATAAATTACATAAATTGCTCTTTATTTCTCAAGTGATATAGCTGAAAACAATACAATCTTAGATATTTCTAAAGCTGAAGGGCAAGTTGGAGAAGAAAACCTTCTTCTTATTAATGTTTTTTTAGTTGGCATCTGTTTTCACAAATAACATCTGCCTTTGTTCTACAGTGCAATTGCTACTCTTGTGGGGAGCTCTTTGCTAGTTTTGGTAATTTATAATGTCTGCTGCTATAATTTGCAGCAAATATATTTTTCCCTGGCAGATAGGAGAAACTCTCTCCTCTGGTAAAACCTCTCCTTCCCACCACGCTAAAAAAAGAAAATTGCTGCAAGCCTCTGAATGAGTTTTTGGCCAGCAGGCCAAGAATATGTGTCTGTGCTTTAGTGTCAGCAAAAGCTGCCCTTGCCAGGCAAACAATGCACCCTGGCCTTTGGCTCCACTTCCCATTGCAGGTTGGAGAAGTCACAGAAATGTGGACAACATCAGCTGGCCCAAAGCCATAGGGCACATACCTCAGACTGGAAATGCATAGCCAAATGTTATCCCAAAGTGTCTCTCCTTGACCTTGCACACAGCACTTCCAAAAGAAAAATTAACTTCATAGCACTACCTGAGCCTTTGACACGATTGCAGAAAGTAAATTCCTCTTTAAATGGTGGCTGTCTTTTTCCTCACAGAAATACACTTCCCTGAGGAGGTCTTCACTTCCTTTGGGTGGTTGAGTTGTTTGCTGACCTTCTTCAGAAGAGGCTGTGACCAATCCTTTCTGACTGGTGATGCTGCAGTGGCCGATAGACACTTCACCTTTTTTCTGGTGAAACACTTAATAGGACACTGCACAATTTTACAAGAGCGTTGCAGCTAGACTGGGAAGAATGAGGAGAAATGGGGAGCAGCTTAAGAAGTCAAAAGGTTTTTGTTTCAGACAGCTCATGATAGCAGCTGTCATGTGTGCTACACCTTTCACCAGGGCCTTATCAAGAGTCTAACACTAAATACTTCTGCATTGTGACCATTCATTCATTACATTTTATCAAGTTGTAAGTGTCATGTCCTCTTACATCACAGAAGGAAAATAAAAGTGAAGATAGACATCAGCCAATAATGTACCAATAGAAAGGGATAAACAACTAGTTCCACAAATTATTCTCTCAAGGAAATGCAGAGTGATTGCCATTTTGCAATATTCAACGTAATCTAATGTCTGAGCTCCAGCAACGTTAAACACCATAAGAAAAATGAGTGTGTATGGATGATATAGTTTTTGAAATGGACATCTTTTTCCTAAATTTTCTCAGTGGTATGTCCTAGCACATTTCTTTAATTTATCAAATGGAGATAAATATTTTATTTATGTCGATTCTTTCCATTATAATTAGAAGCTCCCAACAACCTATAATGAAAGCTGAATAAAATTGTAGTTATTTGAATTCAAATAGCTAGCAGCTGACAGAGAAAGAAGCTCTGTCAAACTTTTCATGACACTTTCTTTATGGCATGGGTGAAATATGTTTATCTTGTTGGGCCTTTAACTGTACAGACAATCCTTTCCAGTGCATGTTAGGACAGGGCACTGCTGACTCATATTCATGTTGGCAAGTAAAGGCTCTATTTCAGATGTAAGAAGGAGATTAGTGGGTATTAAAGTCTTCCCTGTAACAGAGGAGAGTGACATGACAAAATGTAGGCAGCAAAAACCCTCCAAGTCTTTCAGCAACATCAGCATAAAGGGCTCTATCCCTCTTTAGTCCATGCAGCTGGAGCAAGTTGTCCTCTTTTATTAACAAGCAGAAACTACCAATGAAGAACAAGAGAGTATTACAACCTTTTTTGGTTTTTTTGGTTTTTTAGGTAGTTACCTCATATACTTTATATACGCCCACTGAAAACTTTTCCATGTATTTCCTGGCCACTGTTTACATCTAAAGTAAATCGAAGTGCAAATTAGTATTTGAAAAGCGTTCATTAATTTCAAAAACAAAATTTGGCTTTTAAAAAAATCATCAATATAGTCAAGAACTCGAACATTTTAAAAAAAAAGTAAACAACCCTTTAAATTAAATAATGTAAATGAATTTTTCAGAATTTTTAATGTTTAAATGCAAATAGGATTTCCTGAGAAACTCTGATAGTAGTTCCGCCATTTTTTTCTAACTAGTTTGGTGGAGAATTTATCTTCTTATGTTATTTGCAGCAGTGCAAATTTTCTATGAATTCTGCTAGAAATTGTGAGGTCTTCCTTATTTTCATGCCTGGAATATCATCTAAGGTGAACATATTCCTGAATGTTTTCTCTCTTCAGTGCATTAGCATACTCAATCCTCATGGTCTGAGCATAACTCTCAGTGATCTCACCTGCCAGAATGTGACAGAAGGAATCAGGATGAGTGACAGATGACAAAAAAAATGCTGAACAGCTGCTGTTGATGTCAGTTTTTGCTATCTTATGTGTTTTAATATTTTATAACTAGAAAATAAAATTTCTCACTATGTATGTCTAATGAAATCTAAAAAAAGTCCCAGAATAACAAGCAAATAGAATCACAATTGACAGAGACTTTTCACATAGGTATCATCAGGGTCTGATCCTGAATCTATGCCAATAATGTGCAGGTTTTTTGTGACTAGTACTGCAGAAGGTGTTATTTATTTTTGTGGGATTTTTATTAGATGGGGGTGGTGTGTGGAGAATGAGCCAAGGTACTCGACAGAGAGCAATCCAGGTTTCAAATAGGAAGCCACAGCTCTGTAGGAGGACATAGGAAGCTGTGTGTTTGTGAAATTCAGAGCAACTGCGGGGGGAGGAGTTCAGATCACAGAACATAAAGCAAGACAAGAAGAAACTGAGCTTTTTGTGGTTTATGACTGTCACCATTGCTGAATGCCTACTTAATTTTAGGCACTTCTAAATAAAAAAAAGGTAATAAAAATCATCATGTTACTAGTATTAGCAAGTGAAAAGAAAATGAGCCTTTGGCTTCTGCTGTGATGTTTTCACCTAAAAAGCACTTGTCACTATGCAAAAAACATATTTTGATAGGTAATGGGGAAAGCAGCAGGATATATTTTATATTTGTCTTTTCAGTAAGCAATTTCTAAACAGGTTGCTGAAGTAAGATGCCATGACAGTTTATCTTCAATACAAGTGGAAATTTCTGCACTGTAACTAAAAAGCTAGCAATAACAATACTGTACAAAACTCGGGCCAGAAAAGTTAATTAATACATTCACAATTAATTATGATAAAATATTAGACTGCAAACCCAGGAAGGTTGGTATTTCTTTCTTCTGTCATTTTATAAGCTAGTTATATTCTATGCACTGTTAATTTACTAGTTCCATGGCAAAGTTCAGAGGTTTACATTTTAGAGTTCAGCAAAACTCTTTAAGGAGAGAAAAATTACTTTGACATTTACGTAGGATGTTGTAAAACAGCAAAGCAACAACCTTTATCTTGTATATACATTTTTTTCAAAAGCTGTCTACTGGCAATACTGAAGAAAAATACATAGAAGTAATATTAAGAAAAAAAACCAAACCTGCATTAACAGGAACCAGTGCCTGATGAGATGTAGATATTTGTCTACCAAGAGCTATGCCTGCTTTCCTCTGACCCCTGAGTTGGACACTGTTGGACAATTCATCATAGAGATTTCTGTTTTTCTAATTTTTTACTCTTATTTTCTTATTCCTCCACTTATGTCTTCCCAAACACAGTCACTAAGGGTGATATTTACCTGTTTCATACATCCCAGGAGAATTTTTTCATACCCCCTCCATGAGAGGAAGAGGAGGTGCAGACACTCCAGTGCAGACACTTCTCTCTGGTGATCAGTGAGGACCTGAGGGAGTGGCTGGAGCTGGGTCAGGGGAGGTTTGGGTTGGATATCAGGAAAAGGTGTTTCACCCAGAGGGTGGTTGGGCACTGGAACAGGCTCCCCAGGGAAGTGATCACCAAACCTGACAGAGTTCACAAAGCATTTGGACAATGATCTCAGGCCTATGGTGGGATTGTTGGCATGTCCTGTACAGGGTCAGGAGTTGGACTCCATGATTCTGGTGGGTCCCTTCCAGCTCAGGATATTTTATGATTCGGTGTTTACAATTATGATTTTATTGTCACAGAATCACAGAATTAACTAGGTTGGAAAAGACCTTTGAGAGATCTCTCTATCACATCAGTGGCAGTATGTTTCCCATCACCCTGAGAGATTAGTCACTGCATAAGGCTAAAACTTTAAAACTTAGGAAAAACCACATCTTTCATTCTTCTCTTGTTTGCTATATAATGTCCCTTATGAAGTTTGCTGCTGTTAAAATGTGCTAAAAGAAAGAAACAGGCAAATTCTGTTTAATGTCTATGGCACTACATATATAGTCTTGTCAGATTTAGAAATACAAGTGTGTTCATGGCTTTGTGACAGCTCTTTTCTATTTATTTCAGAAAGACAAAAATGTCTCAGGATATGGGAAAACACGGGGCCCTTGTGGGGTTCATTTTGATATTTTTGTAGGTTGCTTTGTAAAGCAGATGGAGCTGGTCCAAGGAATTAACAGAGTCAAGGGGACATCTGCCTGTCATTAGAGCAGCAGAGAGTCATGGAACTGATTGAATGCCACATTGTCACTGGGACATAGCTGTAAGAAGTGCTGAGAGCTGCAGCAATGAATCCAGCACAAACATTCATTTCCAGAACATAGCTGTAGGTCACACAAGAAAATAAGGATGAGGAATTTGCATAGCCTTGTCTCTAATTAAAGCTTCACTGAGCTAGTAGGTTAAGAATTGCAGATTGAAGGCACACACTACCTTTGTCCTTTCTGTCTCAAATTAGGTAATGACCACTGAAAAGAACCTGACCTTAGCAAATCATCTAATGTAGAGACAGACACAGGTGCCATTTTTCATTATTCCTGTGCATTAAATGACAGACACAAATCAGCCATAATCACTGCTGAAGGCACAGCTATCTTTAAGTTTAGCCTTGGATTAAGAAATATTCTACCTTGCTCAATGTGAGCTGGAACAGACCCAAGTCAGACTCACTGACATTAATCAAGAGCTCTTTGGGACAACACTGTCCTGCTTTGCCTTTCTCAAATGCATCATTCTTACTAATTTTGTTGCCCTGGGAGTGTCCTAAAACCTATGCAAATGATCAGCAGAGCTTTCCTTGAGCTTGGAGTTCTTATCAGATCCAATAGTGAAGTTAAGGGTATCCACATGCCATCTGCCTGGCTCTGAAAGGGCAGCAGCTGATGTCAGCAAGTGCTGCTGCCAGGTCTCCCGTGCCAAAAGGAAGGAAACTTCTTCCAAAGTTCCCTTCCACCTCTGCCATGCAAGGATTTCTCAGGCCAGGGCCAGCAGTGTGCAGGCAACTGAGTGTGGACTTGGAAGCAATCCTACAGTGCCAATCCTCCCTCCTGGCTCAAACAAACCGTGCTGGGACAACTGTGGTAGTATTAAGGAGAACTTGGACCTTCAGGGATTGATAGAACTTGCTGTATGCATGGATAGCCAAGGCCAAAGTTCTGCCTTGAGATTTATTAGGCATTCCAGTGCCCATTTCTTGTCAAGGTGATGAAGGGATGTGATGGAGTCCTGTCATACTCACACCCACACTTCCAGCCAGAGCAAACCTCAAGACTGATGATAAAAAAGGGGGACAGGATGCAATCTAGAAGGGAAAGAAAAGAATAATGTATCATGTTATCCCACATGCACAACCTCTCTCTTCTCATGAATATATTGTACTTGGAAAAGAACACTTCTGCTC